GTAATGCCCTTTGGACTGACAAATGCTCCAGCAACATTCATGGACCTGATGAATAGAGTATGTAGGCCGTATCTGGATAAGTTTGTCATCGTGTTCATAGACGACATTCTTATTTATTCGAAAAGCGAAAAAGAACATGAGAAACATTTAAGAACTATTCTGGAACTACTKATGAGAGAKAARTTGTACGCCAAATTCTCGAAATGTGAATTCTGGTTACGAGAAGTGCAATTTCTCGGTCATGTGGTCAACTCGGAAGGAATTAAAGTGGATCTGTCAAAGATAAAGGCCGTCATGGATTGGGAGTCGCCAAAATCTGCATCCGAAATCCAAAGTTTTCTGGGTCTAGCAGGCTATTACCGAAGGTTTATCAAGGACTTCTCCAAAATGGCAATGCCTATGACCAATTTGACAAAGAAGTCAATTAAGTTTGATTGGGGAGAAAAACAAGAAGAGGCTTTCCAAATCCTCAAGACCAAGTTGAGTAGCGCGTCAGTCCTTGCCTTACCGGAAGGAACAGAAGACTTTGTTGTTTATAGTGACGCCTCTAAGATGGGTCTGGGTTGTGTACTAATGCAACGAGGCAAGGTTATTGCTTATGCATCACGACAATTAAAGGAGCATGAGAAGAAGTATCCAACCCATGATATGGAATTAGCTGCAGTAGTATACGCATTGAAGATTTGGCGACACTACTTGTATGGTACAAAATTCATAATATATTCGGATCATAAGAGCTTGAAGTATCTTTTTGATCAGAAGGAACTGAATATGAGGCAAAGAAGATGGATGGAACTCCTCAAGGATTACGATTGTGAAATCCATTACCATCTGGGCAAGGCAAACGTAGTGGCCGACGCTTTAAGTAGGAAAGAAAGAGTCGAGCTTATTCGAGTGCGGGCCATGTGGATAAGCATGAAAGTAGATATGGTAGATCAAATCCGAGATGCTCAAAAGGAAGCCTTGATGGAAGCAAACATTAAGAAGGAGAGAATGGTTGGGCAAATTAAGTCACTGACCGTCGGGTCAGATGGAATACACAGATTTGGGAATCGGGTGTGGATTCCTAACCTAGGTAATTTGAGAAGTAAGGTACTAGATGAGGCACATAAGTCTAAGTACACTATGCACCCGGGTAGCGATAAAATGTACAAGAATTTGAAGGAGAGCTACTGGTGGCCKGGTATGAAGAAGTCAGTAGCTGGGTATGTGGAGAAGTGTTTGACTTGCCTACAAGTGAAGATAGAACATCAGAAACCATCAGGAATGTTACAACAAATGG